ATCTTGTCTTCCCCCTACTCTCGCTGCTTAACTCTTGTGCTTTTTTTGTTTCTTTTCTTCTTGTATCCATGATGCTCGAGTCATACAGAGCCTTACTCATTTCGTATCACACACAACTGGTTTTGCTCTTAACTTTCCACCCCTCTTCCCCAACAGGAGCAAAGTCAGGAGATGAGGCACAAGACTTCCCTTGTAATGAGGAAAAGAAAACGACCTTACAGAAACATCCTGGAAAAGTCAAGTAAGTTAAAATATGTCTTCTTTTTTTCTTTTTTTTTTCTTTTTTTTCTTTTTTTTTTTTTCAGTTCAGAGGAGACAATAATTTTTCAGCTCAGTGTTTAACATACTTGCATAAACACAAATCTGCGACACAACTCCCCACCAGCAGCTGCCTAATCCTGCTCAATTCCTATTCATTTGGAGGTTCTAGAATTAATATTTGACGACTCTCTCACTGAAACAACAACCCCTGACCCCATGTGATTGCACTGTCACATTATTCTATGACATATTCATCTTGAATTCATTTACGGACGATTTGATTGGAATGAGGTTTGACATGTATTGGATCCTATTAAAGAAGAAGACTTTGATCTTGTTGATGGGGTTTACATGATATGTATCATCTTTACCAGGGATACCGGGCTTCCACAATGTGGTGTCGAAGTAGTTAGTGACTGACAGCTTATCTGACAGGAATACCTTAATCTTGAGGTATTGAATGAAATATTCTATTTTAAATAAGCATATGATTTCCTTTTCTTAGGGTAGCTCTAGGTCACAAAACGTGAGAGGAAAACCTAGGTACAAGCCTTTGATTGTCTAGTGGCTGAGTTCCCATTATCCGGGCGCCCTAAAATAAAGTCCCCTTAAGTGTAAACGGGGCGATAACAGAAACAAAGGCAGAGTGTGCTCCCGAGCCACTCGGTACCTCTTCTCCCGAACGGCTTTCTTGAGTCACCTCTTCCTAACCAGCAGTGCCTTCTGCCGGGGCAGGCGAGGACTCGGGCTCAGGTCTTGCACCTGCCCTTGTGTCACTCGCTGCCTCAACGCGAGTTTGGGAAGAAAAATTAATCACAGAGTGACTTCTCTGTCCTCAGTGTTACTACTCCCTGCTCTTTTCCCCGTCCTTACAGTAAGTATTAGAATTTTCATATTAATCCGTTCCCCTTGTCTCATCCAGAAGTTGAAGCCTAAAGGTAACCCCTGTAACCTGATGTCTGGAGAGTTGAGGGCATCTTATCCTGTACCAGGCCCTTCGACCCTCTGGCTGGAAAGTTTGTAGGTGGCTCGTCGGAAGGGGAAGTTTCTGCAGAGGCAGGAGAGGGAGAGCACGAGGGTGGGTGAAGGTCAGATTTTGCTCTCCAAGATGCTTTCCGGGGCAGGAGCTGCTCCTTGCACTGAGCACGACTCTCAGGGTGAACAGGATTTGGCTTCAGGTCAAGCAGCACAACACGAGCAGCATCTGATTTTCTGGGGCTTTGCACCTCACCTTCACAGCAAGCCCTCTCTCCTACAAAGCTACAAACACAGAGAAGAGCCTTGCTGTATAGGTACATTCCCACCCAAAGCAAGGCAAAGTGTGGTGGGTCCGTCAAGCCACCCAGCAGCGGGTGCTGTCCCCATCCCCGGGGGTTGCGGCAGAGAGGTGTGCGGCACTGTTCCCACCCGGTAGGCCCCGGCAGCTGCCCGACGAGGGGCGGAGGTGCAGGCAGGGACCGGGGATTGGGGCTGCACGGCTCGGCCCCACACCCCCGAGGTGTGGGCAGGAGGATCTCTGGATCCCCCTGCACGGCCGGGTGGGAAGCAGGGAGGCAGCTCTGCCCCCGCTCCCAGGGCACAGCCCCGGCGTGAGGAGCCTCGGCCAGCTCGCCCCTTCCCTGAGAGAGCCGGGTCAGAGGCATGAGGGGAGCGGGGACGAAAAGTGCTTGTGACTCCTCTTTACAATATGTCACCTCTGTAGAGCAGCCTTCCAACACGGGAGGGCTTTGGGGCCGGGGGCTTTGGACGGAGTGGCAGAAACACAAAAGCCAGCAGAAAATCTGTAGTCAAGATCAAGCCTCCCGTCAATTCATGTTGATTTGGTACCCGAGAGAGCACCGTGGTCTCTCTAAACTTCACTTTCATAAAGATAAGATCTATTCTAGAGATTTTATATAAAATATTGTACTAATCGACCGGACCTTAGGTATGAGATTGAGCTTCAGCTTTTTTCTGCTGCTTGAGTGATCTGGGTTTCTGGCTGGAAAGGCTCTGGTTCATTCAATTCGTGGATATCGAGTGAAGCCTAGAAGGGTATGCCTTTACCGTATTCAGGTGGGTTGAACAGGAAATTATTATTATTATTATTAATAATAATATTTTAATAGGCCCTGCACAAGCTGATGTTGACACAGTTGAGAGTTTGCCGAGAGCTCGGCTTATCTGGTCAAACGCTGCTCAGGCCGCTGCCAAGAAGCAGGAGCCCCCGGGGCACCCCTCGAGTGGTCGCCCGCCCCCCGCGCCGCTCCCCCCGCCCGCCACCGGGGCTCACACCAACTTCACCTAACAGTGAGGGACACTGAGGTTCTCGTGCTCTTCCTGGAAAAGGGAGTAAGAGAAAGCCCTGAGTGAGGGGCAAGCTGAGGGCCATGAGTGTCTGACGAGAAACCTTCACAACATTTTAACTGAGCTTAGGGCAAACAGGTCATGAAATTTTTTTTAATTGATAAACTGTTCCAGATGCTTTCTCCTATGACTGTGAAGTGTCAGAATTTATGGATAACAAGTATGTAGAGATGCAGTGTTTTAAGGAGGTATGAGGAAAGCAGCTTTATTTGGAATTCACACTCTCAGTACATTTGTAAGTAACAGATTAATACTTCCTAACGTTTGTCTCTTCTGTGCACTCCTGTTGAGATGGTCATAAATAGGACTGTCAAATCCATTTCGTAGAGCAAGTAGACTTGGAAGTTGAGATATTGTGAGTATGGTGTGTGCTTTAAAATGCCTGTATAAACATGTTATGTAAGGATGGAGAGCTAATTGCATCATTTGTCACTTCTCATCATCTCCACTCAGAAAGATGTACGTGGATGTATCTATAGCTAGCTACCCAAACATCAGACTTGTGTTACAGGGGAAATAGGGCGAACGGCAAGCAGAGCCAAAATGTGTAACTGCAGCCAGCCCAGAGTATGTGATGCTGTGATAAAAATGTCCCCTCTGTCATCTGTCTCCTACACTTTAATCTTACAGGTTCTGGTCATTGGCTGGTAGTTTCTGTTATGAGACTAGCTGGGTTGACATCGCCAAACAGTTTCTTGTTTTACTGCTTAGCATAAAACCTATCAGTCATTGATACTGTTACATTTTTACGGAGATGCAAAATCCTGAGCTGTGAGCTTTACCTGACGTGCATGTGCTACAGCGTCCACTGCCAAGTTAGCAGCAAGTCAATGTATCAAAATGCTGAGAGTTGGACACGATGGGTAGAGAAGTAACTGTTGCTTTGGTTGGTGACGCTGTGCGTTTATTGGTTGGGTCATGTTTATGTCAGGATCCGAGTTCTGTGGTAATGATGTGGGCAGTTAATACAGCTGTGTTTTCCTTTCTTGAAGCCCTATGTCTTCCCTCCTTTCCCACGATTTATTTATTTTTTTTAAGTTCACAATCCCGTTCTTAAAAACTGAAGTAGATGCTTCCTCCTGTTCTGAAGCCCCAAGCTTTTCTAAACCTACAAGGCCTCACGGTGTGTAGACCTGAAACCCAACCTTCACTTTCACCATTAGCAATGCAACCTCTGCAGACCATGTTACTTCCTTCAGGTGAGAAGAATCAGAATTGAGTCAGTTAGGAATGATTTGCAATGTTTTTCCTTCACGTCAAGGACGGGGATTTCACATGGAACTACCCTCTAAGTGTGTATGTGAGAGAAACAGGGAGAGAGACTCCCTCTTCTGGGTTAAACATTCAGATTCAGTCTAAACATCACGGTTTCTCGCATTGCTCAGGCAGCCAGTAACCAGATAAGTGTTAAAACTTGTCGAAGGAGGGGAAGGGGACGAGGAGTCTTCCAGGAATCCTTTGTCAGGGCTCAGGCAGCGATGCAATAGCTCGAGCACCAGGCCAGACGCCTGAGCCTGCCAAGCGAGCTGGCG